CCCACAGCGGCTGCTGGCTGCCCACGCCTGGCCCCCAGGACTGCTTGGGACCGGGAACGCCCCGGCGCCCTCACAACCCCCCACCTCCAGCACACTTTGGACAATCTGTTTTTGTTTGAAATTAAAAATCCCTCTGATTTTTTTTTTTTTAGAGAGAGAGGAAGGGAAAGGGAGATGGAAACGCTGATCAGCCACCTCCTGCACGTCCCCTACGGGGGGTCGAGCCCACAGCCTGGGCATGTGCCCTGACGGGGAATCGAACTGGGCACCTCTTGGTGCAGGGAACAGGCTCAACCACTGAGCCACAGCAGCCGGGCCCCTCCACAATTCTTAGTGTCCACAGCTAATAACAGCACCCAACAGACGTATAAAGCAACGTAGTTCCTAAGTTACTGTGAATAAAAGTAGTAACTACTTTGGAAATTTTATAAAATACAGAACAGAGGAAGAGACAGGCCTACAGAGCCCTCAGCCCAAAGGAAACTGCTTGTCCTGCAGCCTCCGGACTGTGTTTCCGTTTCCCAGGACCACCTGCCGGAACCTGGTGCCAATGTGGGTCCCCGCCCGCTGAGACCCCGTGATCACGGGGCTCCCCACCTGCCGGGACCCTGTGCCAACCCGGGTCCCCATCTGCCTGTTTACTCAGCATCCGGATGGAAAACATTTCGACACCGTGGGCCAGGCAGCACCAGCTCTGCCAGGCGCATCCAGCCTGAATCCCGCCACCTGAGGGCTCGGGCGACTGCTGCTCTACCCTGACCCACAGGACAGTGAGCACGGCTGGGCGTGGGGCACCTTCCTCATTCTTCTCAAAGCTTCCTTAGGAGGAATTCCTGGGCTTCTAGGTCGGGGGAGCCACAGCCCCCTGGACTTCCCCCCCGCTCACTAGAGCGCACCCGGGTCCTGGTCCCGGCCGCTCCCTGCCCACCTCCTCCCCACCCGGGGTCTGTGTGCCCACGCTGGGCCCTGCAGGCTCACCCAGGGAGCACCCACAGTTAACCGGGGTCTGTGTGCCCGCGCTGGGTGCTGCAGGCTGACCCAGGGAGCACCCACAGTTAACCGGGGTCTGTGTGCCCGCGCTGGGCCCTGCAGGCTCACCCAGGGAGCACCCACAGTTAACCGGGGTCTGTGTGCCCGCGCTGGGCGCTGCAGGCTCACCCAGGGAGCACCCACAGTTAACCGGGGTCTGTGTGCC